AGTGTGGGGGCAAGCTGTTTGGAATGTGAAACTTGCACTTCAGAGTGGCTTTTCTGTCTAATCTGTGGTATTGATGTATTTAACTTTTAACGACCTAACTGAGAGTGAACTTAAGGGCTGAGAGCCCGCTGCAAGTTTTCTTACACTTTTAAAATGACTATGACATCCTAATTTATACTTTTTTTCGTATTTTTTTTTTGGTCCTGTGTAACCCTGGTACCCTTTCCTGGCTAGCTTTGGGCATTTTAACCTAGGCATAGAAAGTGGGTGGGTCAGATTTCTTTTCTCATCTTCAGTAGAACACAACCGCTTAAGCTTGTCGGCGTGAGCGAGAAGTCAGACTCGGGCGGTCTGCTTTATCCTGTGTATATGTAAATTCCCGAATAAAACACGGCAGTGAAACCTCAGCTGACCTCTCTGGGTTTGTAGCAGCGGTAAGGGATGGGGCTAAACGCTGCAGGTGCTGTGGGGCACCCGGAACCGTTCAGCCGCACCAGACCCGCTCCATCTGCTTTGGAGCCAGGGCTGTGTCCTGGATTTCTCTCGGGAGAGAGGAGCGTTTGCCTGAGAGCAAGGGATTGTCAGTAAGAACCAGGCTGGGCACAGGCAGAATCGGGGCAGTTGACGCTTGCGTGCGGAGACTCGCAGGGCTGTGGGCGAAGGCAGCGCTCCGGTGGTCAGCACGGCAGCTTTACCCCCTAATCCTCAACAAAACCTGACCAAGGCTTGTTCAAAAGGTAAATTTCAAGCTTTTACAAGTGGTGAGAATGAGGGATGGGGGGATTTAGGAGTCGCCTACGGAGCCTGGTGTTCCTTAGGCCTGCGTGCGGCGGCAGCGGAAGGAGCTCGGCTGATTGAGCTGCTGCTGCTCTGCTCCCGTATTAATTACAGTATTCCTTAAGTCAAAACCTGCTCTTTCCTGAAAAAAGGGGCTTTCCCTCTTCCCCTCCTGGAAGGTGGTTGGCTTTTTTTAAGCTACACATGTGATTTTTGGGCTGGATGCTTTGAGAAGCTGAACTCAAGCGCAGAAAACCAAGGTTTCAAGCTGGTTTTAATCGTCTTCGCTTGCTGCCCCAGTACTGTACATGCAGGTACAAGCCAATGAAAAGGTGAATACGTGGTGGTTTTCCTCCTCGGGAAAACTGGCCAGGAATGCTGTACAAAATCACGTGCACCCTCACAGCTGTCAGTCCTGCTGCGTGTAAACCACAACAATACCGGAGGTTGGACGTCGAGAAAGACCACGCACACGGAAAACGTTACAGAACGCGGGTAGAAAATCGCCCTTGGCGGTGGGTTTGCCGTCCCCAAACGTCCGTCACAAGCCCGTCCCCTCGTCTCGAGCGCGGAACCGGGGCTTAGAGGACCCCCCGGCTCCCCCCGCCGCGGCCTTTACTTGAAGGGGGAGTCGTTACACTGAACGAATCTGTCATGGGAGCGAAGTTTAGCGCGAAACACGAGCGGGCTAGTGAAGGTAGCCGGATGTGTTCCCTCTTGGAATTGCAGCCCGGTTTCCCGACGCTGCCCAGGGTGAGTCAGTCCCACGCGAGCACCCAGTTGCCTCATTTCCCGCGGGCGCTGGCTGCGCACGAAGACCGAAGGCTGCGTGGGGGGATCCCCGCTCCCCCTTCCAGTAGGGATGGAAGGCTGCGCCCGCGGTGGCAGTTAGCGGGTGGAGCTGGGACAAGGCCCCAACGGAACGGGACTCTTGGCTTAGGGAACTCTTCCCCGCTGGGGCTTGCTGGGGACTTCGGGATGGGAAATGTGAAGCAGCGTGGGTTTCTGCGCCCCGTGCGGGGTTGTGCCACTCCGTGATGCGCCGCTGCCCGGATCCTCGCCCTCGGGACCAGCTCCCGGAAGGCGAAAAAAAGGAAGGCGAAAGTGGCTTGTTACAGTGGCTGGGGGTGGTCTCTGGCTGCGTTTAACAGCCTCAGACCCCTTGGCACAGACCGTGGCTGTTAGCGTTCTGCCCTCTCCGCTTTGTAGGGCGCTCACGCGGTTTAAGGGGCTTTGGGGCTGCGTCTGAGGACTCGCACGGGTAAAATCCCTCGGCGGGCTGGGAATCCGCATTCTGAACTGAATGCTTCGGTTTGGCTGCTTCTGGAAAAAAAACTCCCTGGTGCTTCTCTCCGTGTGCTCTGAGTGGTTGGTTTATCCTGGCGCTGTCAGGAGTCGAAGTCAGACTCGGAGCTGCTGCTCTCGTTACCAAGACGGGGGTGTGTGTTTGTAAATTTGAGGTATAAACTTCGGAGATTAATGACAGATTCTCGAGGCCTGGACAACGTCTCCGAGGGTCCAGGTGCTTGTTCATCGCTTCATTTTGAGGTGGGGGGGGTAGGACAGCGTGATGGGGAAGATGAATCACTTTTAACAGCGTGAAAACATCGAGCCCTTTTAAGAAAACAAGGCCACCAACTTCAAAGTGCTAACATTCCAGAGGCACCCGCTGCCAGGGTCCCTGGCTGCCGGGGTGCGAGGAGGGGGTGCTGCTCCCTCAGACAGCGAGCAGTGCTTTCCCACTGCAAACTCCCTTCTTTTACTGGGATTGAGCAGGTGTGGACAGCCAGCAATCCCGTTAGGAGATGGGAATCCTTTCCGGAGGCTCCCTCTCTCCATCCACGCTACAGGCAGAAGCTTTAGTGCCCCTGGGAGAGCAGCAGCACCGTCCTCAGCTTGTCGCATCCCAGATGCTTGCCTCCAGGCCGGCCCTTCCGGCAGGGAGAGCCTTTGGGGTGCTGTTCGACAGGCTTTTTGATGGGAGGGATGAAGGGGGGGGTAGCTGCTATCCAGCCAAATCAACCCTCCCCCCGGAGCAGCACCCCCGACCTCTTGCTTGCCTTCGCCTTCGCTCCCCTCTGCCTTCAGCTCGGCGATCCACAGCGGAAGCGCTCGCCGGAGCAGAGGTTGGGCCCACAGCAGCCAGCGTGGGGGCAGGGGGAAGCGCTCCGCCCCGCATCATTGCTCCTCGTCGCACAGTGACAACAGAAAATAACCTGAAGGTGATAGTGCACGAAGCTCTGGCTCTTAAAAGAAAGAGAAGGAAGTGGGGAGCGAACAAAAATGAGGTATTACATGGATAATCGGAGCTCCAGCCAGGCACAGTGGTACCTCCAGCTCCTGGGGCCCGGGAGGTGCCGAGCGGTTTGCCCCTGGATGCTCCTGCGCTCTGTCCCGGTGCCTGTGCCCGAGGCAGGTGATTGGCTAACAGTGTGGCGGTTGGTCAAACAGCAAGACAGACGCTTAAGTCCTTCACTGTCCGTTTTTCCAAGTCTGCTTTTAAAATCCTAAATCTTCCCCCCAGCGCGGACTCGGTTGCAGGGAGTGTTATCGTCGCCTGGGTCGCGGAGGCTGTTTGGTACCGCTTCACCCCACTGACTCCGTGCTTGTTGCAGAGGTGTTTTTCCCCCCAGGAAGCCTTTTCTGCAGCCTTTCAACCTTTCTTTTTGGCTCGTAAGCGTAGTTCTCGCACCCCCGGCAACCGGACAGGGGTTGGGGCGTTCTCCATGCTCGTGAACGTGAAGCAGAAGGAAGACTTCCAGTCGGAACAGCTCTGCCGGAGGAACAGCGGAGCGGGCCATCTCGCCTTTGGCACGTCACAGGGAGCAAACCTCGTGCCCTGCAGGTGAGCTCGCAGCTCCGGCCGCAGGCACGAAAACCTGCAGGGAAGCTGGGAGACCTCTCCGTGTCTTTGCATCGCATATGGAAAAAGACTTTTGGATTTGGCCACTGAGAACGGTTCCTCGACCTTGAAAATACGGTTACTTCCCAAACCAGTAGCCGGATGCGCACCCTGAAGGAACTCGGGGTTTCGCAGTCTGGGGAGAAGCGTCTGAGTCAACCGGGAGGGAAGAGAAGGTGGAATCTCTCTGCCTGGGAAAACGTCACCAGTGTGAAATGGTCTGATACCAGTGGAGACCCTTGAGTTGCACCCGCTGGGGAGGTACGGGAACGTGCTAACCCTCATGGCACCGGCGTGTGCAAACACTACAACCACAGCCTTGACTCCCGGGAGCGAACGGAAGGGATTCCATGTCAGCGGAGGGAATACTGATCCCGCTCCCGTAGGAATTTGTGGTCTTGTGTTGGCAGTCGAGAGCTACATCTGTAACTGCTGCTGGAGAAGAGGTTTTAAAGGCTGGAAAAGGTCGCTGTGGTGGGAATGTGTCCCGTGTCCGGGGTGCTCTGTGGTGTTTCCCAAAGCTGTTCAGGTTTCTGGCTGGGTAACTGGTTCTGTATCCTGCTTGACTGCAGGAAAACCGCACCTCCGCGTTCTCCATGTTCCCAGCGTGGCACGAGGGTGGTGATGACCAGGAGCTGATTTCTGACTGAGCCCGGCAGCCTGGCCCACCTTCTGCTGCCCTGGAAAACTTACAGTCGCTCAACTTTGGCAAATAAAACCCAGTTGGGGCATGTAGGAAACCACGGGAGACCCCAGGCCCGGGCACGAGGTCATGTGGAGTTGGCTCGGCTTTGCTGCGCAACCGTTCCCTGCTGTCGCTGGAGTTTAGGGATGTTTAAGTATCGTTTCAAGGCTGTTTTGGCAAAATCCGTCCTTGGTGGTGACGTGGGGTGTCTTGATTCTGACACCAGTGTGTAGTAAGGTCGTCTGTCAGGTGGGTGCTGTGTGCTACTTGCTGCTCGCTTACTACTGGGAGTAAAACGGGCTGTTAAGCTGATGCTGTTCAAT